GCTGCTGCTAGCTACGCCCCTTTGTAGCATCACGCAGCTTTCCCCTGCTAGAGAGTTTTCTACCGGGAGAAACTCAGCTAAACGCTGCCCTGATTAAATGCCATATTATGTTCCCAACCACTTCAAGCATTATTTCTGAAACAGTATGGAGCTCAAACCTTTCTCTCTCGCAGGGTTTACCACAAGGACATTACGCTATACATATTCTCTCCAGTAGCCTACAGCGTTAGCTCCACGGTTAGCTCTGAGTGTTCGCATGTTTGCTAATGTAAACACGCCGCACATTGTTTCTGATAGCACATAGCTTGACATGTTCTTTCTTAAGTGTTTACCGCTAGAACAGTGCCAACATATGTATTATGTATATATATATAACAACTTTACTCCTAGTGCCTCCTGCAGACATCCTGCTGAATACACAGACACACAGCTGCGAGAGGGGATTCAGCTAGACCAGTGTTTTTCAAAGTGGGGGCCCCGACCCCCCGGGGGGCCGCCAGGGGGCGCCAGGGGGGTCATGCAAAGTTTGAGGGAAAGGGGAATTTTTTTTTTAAAGTTACATTTTTTTGGGGGATTTTATTAATAACTGCATATCTATCAATCTATGTGTCCTTTGATGCCAATCTTTTAATATGTTTTAGTTATTCATATATATAATATATATATTTTTTAAATCACACGACCGCCCTTCAAGCCAATCAGAATCGAGCTACTGAGAGTGAAACTGAGTATCTGCTCAGCTTTTGGAGCAAGTGAGAGCTAGTGAATATTTCGCTCTGCAGCTGGATGAGAGCACGGATGTAGCAAATATTGATGTTTATATTAGGGCTGTCAAGTTAACGCAAAAAAAAATTAACGCCACTAATTCTTTTAACGCGATTAACGCATGTGTATTTTTTTTCCTCGGCCGCCCCGTAGTTTCAGAGCGCATCGAGTTTAAAATATCATCTACAAGCTGATGCTGACAGCCCCGCTCCTGCCGCCCGCTTGTGGCAGACCACACTTCCACGCTCACCGGCAGGCACCGACTGGCCATCTGGAGGACCGGGAGGGTGTGTGTATGTGTGGCCCGAGCGAGCGAGAGAGAGACCTTACGTGCATTGTTGTTGTTAGCATCTGGTGCTAGCTAGCTGCGCTAACGGATATGGAGCTGTTTAAATGAAAACAGAGGAGCGACATTTCGCCACAACTGCGCCGAGCACTTGACTTTATGCAGGCAGCCAGACAGTGGGACATTGTACGAAAAGTCAGCACACTCAGTACGGATAGTGCGCAACATGATTGCAGCGTCCAGGCAGCTCCCGTTCGAGCATATGCCTTGAGTTGCACATAGCTCCAACGATCACACACACACACACACACACACACACACACACACACACACACACACACACACACACACACACACACACACACACGCACGCACACACACACACACACACACACACACACACACACACACACACACACACACACACACACATACACACACATACACACACACACACACCATTTGTATTGTATTATTGTATGAGAGAGGTTCCAGGTTGAATTGAGGCGAATATTTGTAATGTTCAGAGGTTGTTGTGTTTAATATTCATGAGGATATTTGTCATTGTTCAAATGATAATAAACATTAGCATAAAGCATATTTGTCCACTCATATGTTGATAAGAGTATTAAAAACTTGAAAAATATTCCTCTAAGGTACATTTAGAACAGATCAAAAATGTGCGATTAATTTGCGATTAATCGCGATTAACTATGGACAATCATGCGATTAATCGCGATTAAATATTTTCATCGACTGACAGCCCTAGTTTATATATATGAATATAAATATGTTTATTGTTAATATTACTGTTGAATATTATATATAATATTATTAAGGCATAAGTAGCTTTCAAAAATGCTAAAAATATATGTTAATTGTTCATATTACTGTTCAAAATTATATAATATTATAAAGACAGAAATCACTTTAAAAATGCTTTAAAAATATGTTTACTGTTGATATTACTGTTTAATATTGTGTTAAGAATGTTCATAACAGAAGACACAATGAATGTAATAAATGACAAACAAAAGATAAATACAAAACATTTTAGAAGAATAACTGATTATTAATTATTAATACAAATATATATTAAGAAAATGTATTAAACTGTATGATTAATTTGTCATATTATCCATCATAATGTACTGATCATTTAAAAAAAAAAATTGCAACAGGGGGGTCCCCGCCAGATGATAATGCTATATGGGGGTCCTTGGCATGGCAAAGTTTGGGAACCCCTGAGCTAGACGACTGTATACGGAGACGGTAGGTTGGGACGTGTCATGTGTGCCGGAGACGATAGGTTGGGATCATAGACTGTATATATAAATGGACGTAGTGTCCGTGACGTCACCCATAGGATTCTGCAGTTGCCGTGAAGCCCTTAGTAGGCGGAGTCGGCCACTAACGGCTCGACTGTGACGTCAGAGTCTAATCCCGCCTGCTCCAAATAAGGGCAAAGAGGCGGAGCCGAGGCGGGACCTGCTGCCTCCGAACTGGAAGTAAACAGAGCTAGCTCAGGCTAAGAAGCTAAGCTAACATGAAATACATGCATACCAAGTTACTGCTAACAGTGTAGTACCCCTATATAAACGTTACATTCATAATCAAATGAGACAATCTGCAAGAGAATTAGCTATATTTTGTATATTTTCTACACGTTGAGAAAAGACGGACTCCACCGCCCGGACCTAACACGGCCGCAGTGGGCTAGCTCCGGGACGCCGGCTGGAGCTAGTCCCCTGCGGCTCCGTTAGCTCCGGTGGCCACCACTGGGATAATCGGGTCCTCTATTATCATTTGCTCCCGTTTAGCATTATGAGCGTCTAGCCATAGACTATAAAAGTCTTACCCAAGGCTGAATCATAAACTAAAATGTATATGTATGCATAAAGGGTTACGTCCTTAGCTGGCTAATAAGTAACAAGCTAAGCTACCAAGCACACAAACACCTGCGAACGGGGTTAACATGTATAATATTATCATTTTAGACTTCTTGGAAGTTCTGTTAGTACATTCAAGCGCACAGCACGACATTTTAATTGTCTGGTATTTGTAACAATATTCCCTAAAAGGCACAATCACCACGAACACGGCTAAAGCTAAAGGGTAAAGTACAGTATATGACTAACTAACGTTGTAGCCTCTATGGTTGTAGCCTAGCAGAGTGGATAAGTTGCTGTTTGCTGACAGTGAGGCATGTACGTGTCCATCAAAATGACCACGCCGTAATTTATGCAAACACTTTAAGACCTAATATAAATAAAAGGGTCGTGTTAGAAAACAATTCACTCACAGATTCATAATCATGAAGGTGGAATCTAACTATCGATAATAATATTTATTGCATCCATGGTAGAAACATGTTTTTTTCTGCTGTAAAGTTGGGCATTTTAACATGGGGTCTATGGAAATTGCTCCTTTCTGCAGCCAGTCACTAGCGGCCCATGTATGAACTGCAGTGTGTGGCACTTCGGTATTGGCTTCCCGGCTCTACCCCACAGTTTGCCGCTTGGTTGGATGTGTGCCGGATGTCGCCAATGACGTAATAGGAGCCACAATTCTGGATCTGCTCGTTTGCACCCCCCGGTTTTCTTTTTTTAGAGATGTGAGTATGGAGGAAAAGAGACAGGGTTTTGTTTTCTGACACTTTGTGAGTTCCCTGACACACCGGGGACACGTATTTATGTATAAAAGACATAACAAAGTGCATTTTGCATGATAGGTCCCTTTTAAGTGTTTGTATTGAGAAATTAGCAGCAAAAAACATATCTGCTGATCAGAGGTTGCGCTAGACTTTTTCGCTGCCCGTCATTATGACGGACAGGATCGTAACATTTCCGTCAAAATCCATTATAACCCGTCGGCCTGTACACAACTCTGCCGGGGGGGGGGGACACACACACACACGCACACTCGCTCGTGAACTGTTAGCGCCGTGTTATGCATGCCCACTGCACCTCGTGGGAGCGCAGCGTAAAGCTTGTACTCACAGTCATTTCAATGATCTGTTCGGCAAAGTTAGGTTTGGAAACGATATAATTTCCTTTTGGGAAGGCATGCTTAATAACACGGCATAATAACACCGGAGCCCCACTGCGGGGAAACTTTGGCGCTGTTCTGAGTTTGTTCTAATCTGTCAAAATGACGGACGGCTTTCAGATTGTTAAAAAAAAACGTCATAGACGGAAAATATTCGTTTAACGCGAGCTCTGCTGCTGATTTACAGAGGGCTCTTTCCCAAAATAAATATATGAAAAAAGTATTTTGGGTCCAATGGCATCGTTTTTTCTTAACATTTCTAATGTTCCCGATAATGTAAACCAAAGAATCATCAGTAAAGACTTGATCTTTAAAGGATCAACTCTGAGGAAATGAATAAGAAGATCACAAAAAAGAGGTTCCCTACATTAATTCGTATAAATGTATAATCCCCTTGACATTAACAAACGTCATTATAATTTATTTTTTCTTGAATGATTCTCTTTCATTATTAATTTTCTAACCCTACAAGAAAGACAATAGGACATTTTAAACATATTTTAAAGACCAAGGAAACAAGCAAACAACGTGCTTTTGTTTTATGAATCTTTTTATTATTTCATTGCAGCTTTTTTCACAAACAGAAAACAGTAAATAGTTTTGTTCTCATCAATTGTACATAAACTGATACATTCTCTTAAACATAAGTATCAAAACAAATTTAACACATATTCACATACAACTGATCTAAAATCCCATTAGTTAAAAAAGAAAAAAAAATATCAATATTATAATAGTAAATAAAACCAAATACATATTTACAAAGTCTTCTGTTTAAACTACAGATATTTACACAGTGGGTGGTCCGCGCCCCCGAGAGAGAGAGGCAGGCGAACTGGTTTCCTTGGAGAGAAACGTTTAGAAGTGAAATTAAGACAATCAAAGACTTGAAATAATAAGATGTCGATAAACGCTTGTTTTTATGGAGTACAGGGTGGGTAGAACCTACAGTCTAAACATTCCTGCATCACAACAGTTAAAGAAATGACAAGTTTCTGCTCCTAAAGTTTGAGTTTTTAAAGGGCGAAGAACAAAATATCTTTAACAACTCAGGCAGTATCGTTCAATCAGTTCAGAGTGGCAGGTCCAGTCCAACCAGCGCCACCTACAGGCAATACAACTACCAGCATCAGAAGTTAAAAAAACCTATAAGCGTAGACATTGTGGTCTGCTCCATACAGGCAAAAAAATACAACTGCAATTGTTACTATAGATAGTGTTTTTGAGGTTGAATTTTTTTTAATTTAAAGCTTTAAAGAGAGGACAAAAGATGTCGAATAGACACAAAATACTACCACTACTTCTGTCTTTGAACTGTTAATGTAAATTCATTTGCATGTGTGTATGTTAGTGCTGTTTTCTGATGGTCAAGTGCCAGAAAAGTGTTTAATTTACGAGGAAACAAACAACTAAATTCACCACTAACATTCACTGCCTTCAGATGGTGCAATTACAGGAGTTATTATTGTCTTTGCCTGTAGGGGGCGATAATGACAACGTTCACTAGATGCTTCTACTGTTAGTTTAGTAGGTGGCGCAGGAGAACAGGCAGAACTGTTCTTACAATATAACATGTTATGACCCGTTTAACCGAATAAATATTTCCGAGCTGTAGGCATGATGTATCATTGTGGGGATTACTCGGGCAACAGATCTTTTGTTTTAATAACTAAAACGTGCTTGAAACAGTGAAGAAAAATCAGGCTCCTAAAAATATTGGTTCACAATAAAGCAGTTGGCCGTAATTCCCTGCCAGAAGTATTTCAGCCTCCAAATCGTTGAATTTCGGTATTTTTGTCAAATAAATGGCATGGATCCATCTATGAGCTCCATTGGAAGACTTACATTAAGTTATTACACAGAATAACAAAAAAACAATAAATGAAGAAATAGCTTGCCTTGTATCAAGAGAGATTTTATACTGGGATGTTTAGATTGACAAATTAACAATGATTTTAATTTCTTTCATTTTAACTGTAATGTTATTTAATCTAAAAGAGAAATGGTGGAAGACGATTTTCACGTTCAGTTTATAGAGTGAATCATTTTTGTACGGAGCAACATTGTTTCCCCCCTCTTGTAATTCCTGTCGTTTTAAAGCATACATCACTGCACAAAAATGCGTGGGCATCCCAGAGCTTTCAAAAAAATGTATATTTAAAAGCAGCCGCCACAAGTGACGATTAATACGTTCAGCTAATGTCGTTCAGCCAGTTAACAGGATTCTGCAATCCGTGAGTGTCATGTACCCTCCGCACTGTACATTTAAAAAAACAATCAGGAACGATTACACAACAGGTCTATCCACCCATTTCTGTCTTTCTTTAGTTTAAGTGTTGAACAAACACAGAGCTGAATAGAAACTGCATGCAAACTGTCGTCAGGGGAGCTGGTCGCTGTGGCAACAGGTAATATCACGGATACAAACATTGGCAAATCGCTCCGCTGTGAGATCGACAGGTATTACCTGAAACAAGCATGACAGGCAGATTATTAACTTTTCCAGGGAGTTCTCTGAAAGTCTGTTGAGTTTTTGTTTCTTGTTTTGTAAAGGGCCCTTAGAGGGAGATTAAATCACAACATGGAATTGTACAACATTTGATGTAGAAAAAAAGGGATGTCAAGTATAAATCTCAACACACACACACACACGTATTTACAAAGGCAGGACGAACCTGTAATTTAAAGTTCATATCTCAAAATGAGAAAGGACTGAAACTGATCAAAGATGGAGGTGGTGGTAGATTTGTTGGACAACAGACAGTTCATGTTGTTTCCAGGTTGTAATCAGAAGAAGTCCCAAATGTTCTGATGAGAAGTGTGTATGTGTGTTTTAAATCTGTTTCAGTGATGAGAACAGACAGAAAATCATCTCTGAGTCCCGGGTAGATCATTAGCTCTGCTGTTAAATCTTCAGCAAACACTGTGTTGACTGATAGCAGAAACATTGCGTATAATAGAGCCGTGACGGTTCTGTTCACAACCGCAAGAAACCACTTCCCCTGGTTCCATGAGAAGAGAGAAAGCAGCAGAATAACACAAGGCCAGTTTTTTTTACCTGATATATAAACAATGTTCCTTTAATTGTATCTTATGATATGCAAATGAGGCAGTTCAATACTTTAATACTAGAAGATTGATGCTATTTTTTGTGAATCTAGAAGACATCTTAAGACAAAAATAGACACCATTTGTCAAATAAACATCTAAATGTGTATTTTGAACTGTTCTACTAGTCTGGAAGAATATGCTTTCCAACCATAATAGCCGAGTCTCATTGAATAAACCAGAACCTTCATTAAAAACTTGCTTTAAAATTTTCTTCCATTTCCCTTCAAATGTCCATCATGGATTGACCAAAGTCTCTGTTGTTTTCTCAGCATACTCCTAGATGCCAATCAAGGTGTGTCACCATGGAGCTCCACGGCTCCACAGGGATGATTTTGTGTCTGTTCAGGTGTGTGGATCCTGCTGTGTTTGTGTGTGATTATGGGATGGTTTGTGTACATCCAGATGTTAGTTCTGGTGGCGCTTCATGTGCAGGGCCAGGTGGTCGGAGCGGGAGAAGCAGCGGCTGCAGGCGATGCATTTGAAGGGTTTCGCTCCGGTGTGTTTCCGGTAGTGTCGGGTGAGCTCGTCTGATCGGGCGAAACGCCAGTCGCAGCTTTCCCATGTGCAGCGGTACGGCTTCTCACCTGCAGGGGAGGAAGAGAGGGCAGAGGTGTTAGAAATATAAGGGAAGGTTTATCATAATCGTTAGAAAAATATCACTCGTCACCGGCTTGAGCTTCAATATCATATCAATATACATATATTATCCTTGCAAGAATGGAAGTAGTGATCACATACAGAGCATTTGGTACAACTAGTTCCTGAACAGTGTCCTCCAGATGCTGATATACAAGAGAGGGACAATCATTTAAAAAAATGCAGACGTCAAGTTCTGCTTCTGCCCTGAAAAGCCACGCTGCATTAAGTGAATTGAGGAGATCTCAACAGTAGTTTTAAGACAAGGGAAGAGTGTGACCTCATCATTTATCCGCCCACATTTCTCCCAACGACTGATGGGATTTGGGGCATTGTAAATATATCTATTAGACTATGTTTTCTCTATATCCACGTAAGTTAACTTACATGTTGTTTTACTGAATACATTGTGAGAAGTTGTTCAAGTTCAATTCACATGTTATTTCTACATGTGCAAAAGGCCTGCATTGTTTTATATAAATAAATGAGTTCTATAACTGTTCCTTCCTTTCAAGCAATCCTTTAAAATCTATGGAAAATCAAGCTCCATAGATTTAAAAACATGTGTTTAATCGATTACTCATCTCAATTCACAATGTATTACTTTTATTTTGGTCAAATCTTCATGTCTACATGTCAACGTATTCAAAGAAGAGCTATTTGTTTCTGCCTGTTCAGTTATCAGATGCATCACCTGGCTGTTTAACTCGTTGCTAATGCAAGAAAAATAACAGGTAATTCCTGACGTGTGGTAGTCGAACTGTGAACAGAGTGAAACATATTCCCACATCTCATCAATAACTCTGGTGTCAAAAATGTCCTTTCACAATAAAACTACAATACAAGTGTGAGTGAGAAAGTGTGTGTGCCTCCACAGTGTGTGTCACTGTATTGGTCAATGTGTGCGATCAGTATTTCTGTTTGAATGGCAGTTAGCAGTGTGGGCGACAGAGTTTGTATTTGTGGTGACACACACACACACACACACACACACACACACACACACACACACACACACACACACACACACACACACACACACACACACACACACACACACACACACACACACACACACACACACACACACACACACACACACACACACACACACACACACACACACACACACACACACACACACACACACACACACACACACACACACACACACACACACACACACACACACACACACACACACACACACACACACACACACACACACACACACACACACACACACACACACACACACACACACACACACACACACACACACACACACACACCAAATATAATAACCCTTAATTATAAAATTCCTGAGAAGAAAAGGTTGTGAGGAACTATTAGCAGTAACCGCAGTGTGTGTGTGTGTGTGTGTGTGTGTGTGTGCCATCACAGCTCAGTTTGTTGTCCCTAACACACCTTATTACTTGGCGGTTACATCTGTCATTAGCAGACTAAGTGTGTGAGATTTAGGACTGATTTATTTGTAATGGATAATGTTTGGCTTTTTAACAGTTCGTGTGTTGGCTCTGTTTTGGTGGAATATTTCACCTGAATCTTAGAGGAACTCTCACAGAAAAAAGACTTCTGCTATTTTATTCAGTCTAATATTCACTGATGAACTGACTGTGAGGGAATCATTTTATCATTAAAGCAACTTTCGTTAGGGAGGCAATTTACATGTTCCACAAAAAGCTGATATCTGACTGGGTGTCGTTTTTTCTCATACTGATATTCTGAACAATCTGTGCTGTTGTATTTGCTGTAAAGTGTCTCTACTGTAGGCTATTTTTATTATATGTACAGCACTTTGGCTCGACCACAAATCGTTTATAAATGTGCTATATAAATAAAACTTGATTTGATTTGACTAACTTTTAATATTTGAATATATTTCAAACTGGAGTAAATGCCAAAATGCCTGGGGGGTTTTCACTGAACTGTAACCTAAAATGTGGGGAAATGCTGAACTGAGCCCAGAGGACATGTCGCTCAGGATTGTGACCTTGACCAACAATTTCTAAACGCTAAATAAAATTAAAAGTGCTGCTATTTCTTTCTAAAGATGCCATGTGGAGTTTCTGACCTGTAGTCGCACTATTGAGTAATTATTTCTGGGGGTTTGTGATTTATTTTCTCACAGAAGTTCAATGGATTCTGGATAATAAGGTAGGCAGAACTTGTGAAATGGCAGTGCAGAATAACGAGCCAAGTAAATCTTAACACGCCACTTATCCCACCCCTCCCAAACATTGACATTTCTCTGCTCTGCCGCTACGTGCTGTTGCCAAACAGTGAGCTAATCATCAACACAGAGAAAAAATATCTGTTCAATAGGCTGCTATTCAAACAACTGGAACAAAAAACATGTCATCTTTCATGGAACAGTCCAAATGAATGGCAGGGAATCAGGGAAAGGCAGGAGCCCAAAGAACTGAGATATAAATAACTAAACAATAAAACTCTGATCGAGCTGCCTTACTTAAAGTGGGGTTTAGTACTTTCCAGAACAAGAAGTAAAAGAGTTCATGGCAACAGGGAGGAGTGTGGCGCAGTGGGTAGTGCGTTGGTGTTCGGATCAGGGGTCAAACCCCACTGCAGTCAGCATGTCGTTGTGTCCCTGAGAGACTTCACCCCAAATTGCTCCTGTGGGGATTGTCCACAGTATTGAGTATGTAAGTCGCTTTGGATAAAAGCGTCTAACATGTAATGTAATTAATGTTTTTCATGATATAAGGGATCTTGTTTTCTCCAACAAAGACCGATTCATATTCTCTAGAAACACATCTTTTTTGAAAATGAATGATATACATTTATGAGACATAATTGTGCTTCATTGTTGTTGTACCTAAATAAGTATATAGTGAATTTATTCCCTAATTGAGTCCTTGGCTGAAAACCCCAGCGTGATGTGAGGAGGGAGTGTGTCTGTCTCTGTGGGTCATCGAGGGCTCGTTAACACAGCGGGCCTCATTAGCGCTGATTAGATAGCTTCTGCTATTGGCCATCAATCACTCAGTGACAGCCATTAGTGGGGTGAGGGGTCCAAAGAACACAAAGGAGGGGTCAGGCGATAAGAAAAACTAAAAAATAAGGGCAGCAGAATGTGTTTTTGAGTTAAAGTTAATTTTGATGCAAAACTATTCATTTTTAAAACAACGTCATATTCAATAGTGATTATAAACACTTGTTTCTATACTTTATCCCAACATGATTTAATTGGATAAAGCTACACAATTTATAGATTTTGTGGGATGGGCTATATTCAAATTGCAGAAAGCCAGATATTCGTTAAAGTCTAAATATGTTTTACAATACCAGAGATATACTCTCCTACATAAAGTATTCTACAGACTAAACAAACATATTGGTTTTGTATAGATTCTCTTAAAAATGAACACTATTATCATTTTAAAACAACAATATAAGTCAAAATAATCCTGCAGCACTAAAACCTGAGCACACACACATCAGAGGCACTCCAGGCTCCAATCAGGACGATATCCTGTTCCTGGAGTGAACAGCTCGTGATGTGTGTGTAGAGGTGGAGAACAAATGTCTCCGTATAAAGAGACGAGGCTCTCGAGCGGCAGGTGTGTTTGGTTTTGCTCTATAGTTGCGCTGTGGGGGTCAAAGCACAGCCGTCTCTCGGAGACTTATTATCCCCGAGAGGCGGCAAACAGGCAGGTGAAATACGACACATTCACACACAGAGCAAACACACGTGAGGGGTATATATTCCTAAACAAGCTGCCAAGAGGTGAGGTGGAAACCCCCCCTCATCCATCTTTCATCTGCCTTTAGACTACAGTTTGGGAAGATTTACCTGTTGGGTAACTAATTGCATGTGAAGTGACGGAAGCAGTACTTGTGTGTCTGTTTCATAACAAGATTTCTTAGCACAGAATATACTGGTTGTGTTGTGACGAGGGGGAAAACTGAGCTTTGTGTGGATACTGACAAAACTTTCTTGAATACAAATAACATAATACACTTATGTTCCAGCACTTACTTCCTCTGCAGTGATTTTCTAACTATGCACAGTTTCTCTCCTGCCACATCTTAAAGAAAGAAGGAAATGATATTCTGGCCTTTTGAAGCACGTTACCCAACACACATATGGCTATATTCATCTTTTTCTTTTAAAACTGAAAGGCATCAGCTTTCAAAAGACTTTACAGGCATGTATACCTGACGGACAAGGTGGCAGAATAAAAAGGGTCCTACTATTATTCTCAAACAAAAACTAATGAGTGTACGTCATAAACCATGATGGACAGACACACAACAAAACACACACTCAGAAGTGTACAGACAGCAAAACAGCACATTAATCACTGGGACAAAACATCTTTTGTTGCAGGCTGATGTGTACTTTGTAAGGATCATATATATTTGCTCTATAGGGGGCTTTAAGTCTCTTTGACTCCATGAACCCGCAGCAGGAACATGTATTAACCCCTTATCTTGTAACTGCTGATTCTCCATATAGGTAACGTTATAACAACTTTAGAAAAGTCTAAATGAAGTTTGTTCAAAGAGGATTCAATCAAAAAAAGAGAACTATTTAGCTTTACTTCAAGAAAAAACGTATTAAAATATTCTAAAATGCTTTTGTTCAATTATAACTACTATATTTCCCTAAATCTTAAGTCTCTTTACATTTCAAATTAGGGCATTTAACTGATGGTTTTACTCTGGCAGACTAAAGAATAGGTCGAACATTTCTTTGACATAATTACATTTTCTAAAAGCAGAACAAAACCTGTCGGTAAAATAACAGCAAAAAAGTATCCACACACTCTTAAACGTCTTCAGATGTTCAAACCACTTGTAATGCATACCCTAAATGACTCTACACCATCTGGTATACAACATCAGAGCATGATAAAATCATTTTATAACATCTCTGCCTGCTTTTAACGAGTCAAAGAGCAAA